GCAGAGATACATGTGAAAGCGAGGCCAGGGCTGGCAAGATGGCTCAGAGGGCAAAAGTCTGCGGCCAAGTCTGATGAACCTGAGTTCGATCCCCAGGACCCGCGTGGTGGAAGAAGAGAACCAACAAGTTGTTCTGTGACCTCCACATGCACACTACGGCACACGCACACGCACACGCACACGCACACGCACACACACACACACACACACACACACACACACACACACAGAAATAAAATATAGGGTCACAGAGTGAAATCATGTCTCAAAAAACATATATATATATGTATATATATGGCTATAATTATTAAAAATTAAATAAAATGAGGTGATGTGGAGGCTGGGAGTCCAGACAGGCTTATGTGAGTAAAGTTCATGTTTAACTGTTGAGACGTTAGAGGCTCATAAGTGAACAAGGTAGGAAAGGTTTCCCACACAGAACAGCATGGGGAAAGGCCTGTAGATAGAAGACAGCTGGAATCTGTGAAAGAGGAGTTTGGCCTAGGAGAAAGGCTATGAGCAGAAGCCATGTCGACGGCAGGCTAGACTGGAAGAGGAACCAGAGGTTCCCCTCTATGATTTTATTGTTGCTGTTGATTGTTTGTCTGTTTGAGGCTGGGATTCATGCAGCCCGATGGCCTCCAGTTTACTCAGTAGATGTAGCTGACTTGAGGCTGGTCTTGAACTCCTGCCTCTGGCTCCCAAGGGTTAGGTTTACAATGGTGTGCATCACCATATCCGATAGGAGCTTTGTTTGTTTGTTTTACTTTGTTTTTTTTTGTTTGTTTGTTTTGTTTTGTTTTGTTTTTTTGAGACAGGGTTTCTCTGTGTAGTTTTGGTGCCTGTCCTGGATCTCACTCTGTAGACCAGGCTGGCCTCGAACTCACAGAGAGTTCGGTTCTGCCTCCCGAGGGCTGGGATTGAAGGCGTGTGCCACTCCGCCTGGATGAGCTACGTTTCTTTTATTGCTGTTGTTATTGTCATCATGAGTGTGTGTGTGTGTGTGTGTGTGTGTGCTATGGGTATGTGATTTTGTGTGTACAACTGTGTGTGTGAGATACTGTGTGTGTGTTATGGGTGTGTGACTGTGTGTGTGTGCACTATGAGTGTGATTGTGTGTGTGCTATGGGTGTGGGATTTGTGTGTGCACTGTGTGTGTGCACTATGAGTGTGAGTGTGTATGTACTTTGGGTGTGGGATTTGTGTGTGTATGTGTGTCTGTGTGCATGCTATGGGTGTGTGAGTGCAGGTGTGAGCCAGGGCGTGCATGTGGATGGAGGTCAGGGAACAACTTGTGGTAGTCAGTTCTCTCCCTCTACCTGTGGAGGCCAGATCGCTTTCCTTTCTATTGCTCCGCCGTAAATATCAAGCTAGCTGGTCTGTGAGTTTCTGGGTGACTCTCCCGTCTCTATCTCCCTCCTCACCACAGGACTGCTGCGATCACACGTGCACACCATCACATTTGGCTTCCCTTTTTTATGGTTCCTCCTCATCAAGCTCAGGTCATGAGATTTGCACTAGTGAGCTTTCTCCACCCACTGGGCCATCTCACAGTCCTAGGAACTCCATTTCTCACTAAGGAAACAAAAACGTCTACTGTGTGCCCAGAATTTCAATAAATGCTTTACAAACACAAATTTGTTTAGTCCTTAAAACAAACCAATTATGAGCATGATTTTCCAACAACAAAGGCAAAGAAAGTTTACAGACGAGTTGAGCGTGGCAGTGCACATCTGCCACCCCAGTGCTCAGAAGCACTGGGCTGGAAGATTGTTAGTTCAAGCTCAGCCCGGGCTCCACAGCAACATCCTGTCTCAAAAAGTGAAAGGAGCAGGCTGGAGAGATGGCTCAGTGGTTAAGAGCACTTGCTCTTGCAGAGGACCTGGGCTCAATTCCCAGCACCCATATGTGTTCACCACCACTCATAACTCCAGTTCCAGGGGATCTGACCCTCTTCTGACCTCCCTGGGCATCAGGCATGCAAACGGTGCAGATATACACGCAGGCAAGAAACTCACACACATTAAATAAACAACTCTTCTTTTAAAAACACAAAGCAAAAGAAAAGATCAAGTTAATGAGTTGCCCAAGATCACTCAGCCAGCAATTGATCACTGATATTTGAATCAAATTGTGTGAAAAGTGCTGATACTAGAGTAAATTTTTTTATTCTTACTGTAACTTTAATTGTTCTGTATTTTAAAATGCTTTTATTTTATTATGTGTGTATTGGTGCTTTGTCTGCATGTATATTTGTGCACCATATATACATTTGGTACCTGTACCTACAAAGACCAGAAGAGGGACCCCCTGGAACTGGGGTTACCGGCAGTTGTGAGCTGCCATGTAAGTGCTGAGAATCAAACCCAGATCCCCTGGAAAAGCAGCCATGTGTGTGCTATGGGTGTGTGAATGCATGTGTGTGAGTGTGTGTATGTACTATGGCTGTGTGTGCATGTATGTGTCTGTGTGCATGCTGAGTGTGTGAGTGCGTGTGTGTGTGTGTGTGTGTGTGGGTGTGGGTGTGTACATATGTGCTATGGGTGTGTTTGTATGTGTCTGTGTGCATGCTATGAGTGTGTGAGTGCAGGTGTGAGTGTGTGTATGTGCTATGGCTGTGTGTGTATGTATGTGTCTGTGCATGCTATGAGTGTGTGAGTGCATGTGTGTGAGTGTGTGGGGGTGTGTACATATGTGCTATGGGTGTGTTTGTATGTGTCTGTGTGTATGCTATGAGTGTGTGAGTGCAGGTGTGCCCATGCCACAACCACTGAGCCACTCCAGCCCCCTTCCAATGTTTTTTAAATCACATTGATGGACTGATTGCTTGATTGTGTGCGTGTGCTCATACATGACGGCAAGTACACACACACACACACAGATACACACACTCATGTGCCACAGTTTGCCTGTGAAGGTCACAGGACAACTTACAAAACTTGATTCTCTCCTTCCACATGCCTGGGGAGAAGTGGGGAACCCAAGGGCCCAATGACCCTCCCCATCCCGTCTTCCACGAAACAGTGCCAGCAGCCCACAGGCCCAGTCGTGATGAATTTGCATGCAGGCATGGCTGATCTGGTGGAGATAGCAGCTGCTTTGCTGAGCGGACTGTATTCTATCTACACTTGGCATCTTGTGAGAGTCTGTTTCTTGCTGGCCCAGGTCTTGTCCTGCCTTCTGCCAGATAACCAAATGCTTTGGCTACACAGGAAGTCCTTGGCCCGGCACAGGTGGCAGGAACTCAAAAATACCCAGCCTGGTTTAAAAAGGCTGCAGTATAGATGGAACCAGCGTCGCAGTGGGGTGGAGGCATTCTGAATGGAGGGGGCGCGACCCGGCCTGAGTGTCATGCAGCTAAGTTTGGTCCTCCATACGGAAGAAGCAACAAGAAATGACTGCATGGGTTTTTATTTTACAGAACTGAGGATTGAACCCAGGGGCTTGTACACGTCATGCAAGTGCTCTACCACTGAGCCACACCCCAGCCCCTCACTGGGGGATTCTAGGCAGGTGCTCTACCACTGAGCCACACCCCAGCCTCTCACTAGGGGATTCTAGGCAGGGGCTCTACCACTGAGCCACACCCCAGCCCCTCACTGGGGAATTCTAGGCAGGGGCTCTACCACTGAGCCATACCCCAGCCCCTCACTGGGGAATTCTAGGCAGGTGCTCTATTTCTCAAACACTTGATTTGGAACAGGGAAGTTGTAGGATCCAATTTGCGTTTCAGAAAGATATCTGGCAGCTGATTAGTAGGTTGATTAGAGAAGGACCATCCTAGAGCCAGAAAATAAGTAGGAAACAACAGTTGGTATAAATTAGAGGGGTAGATTTACACTATGTCCAAGAGATAGTGATATAAACTGCTAACCTTTCACCGAAATCCACCCTCCCTAGCCCAGACAGAGTCTGGCCTTGTAGGCCAAGCTGTCCTTCCACTCCTGGATCTAGGCTTAAAGCCACCCACCACCGTGCCTACCCATCATCCTTCTTTGCTTTTATTTTTTTTTTTTTTAAAGATTTATTTATTTATTATGTATACAGAGGAGGGCGCCAGATCTCATTACAGATGGTTGTGAGCCACCATGTAGTTGCTGGGAATTGAACTCAGGACCTCTGGAAGAGCAGTCGGTGCTCTTAACCTCTGAGCCAGCCCTTCTTTGCTTTTCTAATAATATTCTAGATTAGTACATGTCTAGCAACTGCACACTCCAGCCTTCCTGGGTCTGATCAGCTGTGAGCAGAGGGAAGGACTTGCGGCCCCACGGTCCTAGAATGTTTCTTTGGGGTTATTTCTTAAGTCCTTGCTTGCCCTTTTTTTTTAATGTGTAGCCCAGGGTGGCCTCAAACCCTCGATCCTCTGGCCTCCGCCTCGTTAGCATTTCATCCCAGGGTGTACCACCTCAACGGGCACTTGTTCTGTTTCTCTTCGCTTTGTTTGCCGAGCCAAGAGCTCACCGCGCAGGCCAGACTGGCCTTGAGCTCACGGCAACTCTCATGTTTTCGATTCTCAAACACTGAGATTAAAGGCCTAAGCTACCATGCCCAGCTGCTCTCTTTGTTGTAGCTGGGTATGAGAGGACGAGGTGCTCCTGAGTGGTTGGTGGTTAGTCTGTACTAGTTAGTCCAAGCCTGACAGGAGAAGATGCTCGGGAAGATGGCAAACTTAATTTAGGAAGGCTGGACGTGGAGGTGCACATCTGTAATCTCAGCACTGGAGAGGCCACGGGAGGAAAAAAGATTTCTCTTCCTTTCTTCCTTTTTTCTTTTCTTCCTTCCCTCCTTCCCTCCTTCTCTCCTTCCCTCCTCCCCTCCCTCCTTCCTTCCTTCCTTCCTTCCTTCCTTCCTTCCTTCCTTCCTTCCTTCCTTCCTTCCTTCCCTCCCTCCTTCCTTCCTTCCTTCCCTCCTTT